TCACATGGTTTCATTTATAAAAGTTCCACCCAGTGTATAGCTGGAAGGATGCCATTTGCACGGCACTAGATCCCCTAGATGGCGCTGATGAGTACACAAAATTCTTCTACTTCTCAGCACCATGTAGGGGCGCTAGTGCAGTGTTGAAATGAACCCCTTTAAGTCCTGCAGCACAGAGTTTTCCAATGCGAGGACACTTTTTTACTTTAACCATTTATTGTTTGATTTCAACATTAAAGTGTTAATTTGTAACTTAAACCAAGAAGTATATATACAAAATAATGACAGTTACAAGCAATTGGGAAAATATGTAATATAATAAAATAGAATAGAATATATACATAGTACTCCAACTAGAAGGCTGATGAATATAATGCATCTAGAATGGAAAGACATATACAATAGAAACAGTTGTACATTATATATAATATATACAGTAGGTAATATGTAAGTATAGATATGTTTACTAGGAATTAATTCTCCAAACAGCGCATGATCAGAGACAAGTTATTATTGTTATGGTTATATTTTTTATTTTTTGTTATGGTTATTTTATATCCAGAATATTTCCTTAATCCCCCAACTAAGCTCTCAGATACTTTCATCCTTCAGATACTGCATAGACTACAAAACATACTACTGGCTCGTATAGCCTTATATAGGCTGCTTCTTGTTGCTTTTCACCTTATTTCTTAACTTTTACTTCTCTCTCTCGCGCTCTCTCTCTCTTGCGCTCTCTCTCTCTCTCTTCCGTTTGATAATGGAGGAGCAGCATAGAGGGCTAAGTCTAGCATACCAAATACTGTTAGAGTACTTCAGAGCCACCAGGATTCTCCAGCTTCTATTTTAAAGGCCCAGAGGGGCACCAACCAGGACACTTGGTACACCCAAACGTCCAAACACCTGTAGCACACCTTACCGGACTTCCCATAAAGTAAATGGGTGCTTGCAGTGACCGCAGATGGCGCCGCGTCAGGCAAAGTTTGTTGTGAAGAGATGTCACCAGCACACCAATATGACAAACACGTCAAAGTTCAGTGAACCTTCATTTTTATTTTTCAGAAGTCACTTAAAGTAGTGTTGAGCGCTTTCGGGGCCGCGCAGGGTCCCCTTCATCAGGCTTAAAGTGAACATGAGAAAGCGCTCTGAGCTTTGACGTGTTTGTCATATTGGTGTGCTGGTGACATCTCTTCACAACAAACTTGGTACACGCAGACACCGCCCAAGCACTGTGAACCACCAACAATAGAGGGGCTTCACATCTATCTCTCTATCTATCTATCTATCTCTCTATCTATCTATCTATCTATCTATCTATCTATCTATCTATCTATCTATCTATCTATCTTTGTACGTTCAGTTTTATCAGTTGAAAATGGACGTTGGTGTTGTCACTTCCTCTTCACATAGACGGCACACAGCGGTATACATATTAGAAGGAAAAGGGTTTTGATCCCCAAATAAGCTGCAAGTATTAGAATTTGCCGACCTGTGATGTCAGGAAATATAAGAGAGACAGAAAACACATATTAGAACACAAAGAATGATAATTTCATCAACAATTAAACAGAATTTTAGGTGAACCATTAATTAAACCCAAACTACAGTACAGATAAAATGTTTTTTTTTTCATGTTGAATAAATCGGGATAGTGTTAGAATGTCTGAGAAGTGTCTGTTGCTGTCTGTGTCATCATCTGGGGGATCGCCCCTCCCTAACAATTTGTTGGGTATCAGACAGAACAGGAAACGAGGGGGAAATGTCCCCCAATGGGGACACAGGCAGCAGTTAGAATCTATCATAGGTCCTAACCTGCCCCATTACATCCAAAATGTAAAAAGAAAGTTGGAGGTTTGCTTTAATCATCATGTAATATTTACGGTAACAGCGTTTCTTATTTGATTCCCGGTTTATATGTGAATTGATTATCTTACCCTATAAAGCCCAACTGAACTTTCAGTTTAAATCAGAAAAATGCATTCTAGGTGCACTCAAAACAAATGATGTGTAAAGTTATTTTCTTAGAAAGCAGCCACAGCCCCAGAAGAGATGCATGTCCACCGCCAGCATGCTGTACCAAAGGTCTCTTGGTCCATGTGTAGACGCAGCTGTCTCTCTGCAGAGTTCTAATACACCCCTTGCTGATTCAGACCTATAGTGCTGCTTTTGTTCCCCACTAGGTGGAGAGACACAACAGGGGGTGTGTTGGACCTCTGCAGAGAGACCACTGCTTCCACACAGAGAGCTAGGGTCCTTCTCTGCAGCAATGCTGGCAGGGGACAGGCTTTTCTGCTCTCTAATTAAACTGAAAGTGTAGTTGAGCTTTTTGAATACTTAAAGTGTATGTTAGGACAAAATAAAAACAAGATAATATGCAGTATATCTCTGCAATACATGTACATTTCCCCATGTGGTGAGGACGGGTGCGTGCGGGGCTTGAGTGTGGAGCCGCGAACAGGCTTCAGCGGTGGGCGTGGCTTATGCGTCCTGTGGGCACGGCGGGAGCAGCGTGCGGTGGGAGGTGTCCTGTGAACACGGCGGGCGCAGCGGTACGTGAGCAGCGTGTGACGTGTGCTTCAGGCAGCGTGTAGAGCCCCGAACAGGGAAATCAATTGATAGCCGACGAATCGACGATCGAAAACATTGGTAACGTTTTCAATCGTCGATTTTAATCGACTAAATCGATTAACTGTTGCAGCTCTAGTTAGAAATATAAATATACTGCATGAACGGCCATATCTTTATCTAAGTGTCTGCTAAATGTGTCATGAAAAAGGAAGTAGATTTATTTTAACAACTTCCCTTGTTCTCTTTCCATATGATATTTTATATTATTGCTTTCTAGAGGAAAGAAAACCCTCAATTATAACCCCTACCTCAGAAGATGAATTTACAGGTCTAAAGGGTGAAGTCCTTGATCCCTTTTTTTTAATAAAAGTGCATTACATTGCACCAATCCTTAGGTACCAAACCAGTTAATAGTCCCTAAAATGTTAAACAGTTACTTAGAAATAACTAAACTGAACACTTTTAGTACTCGTGGGTGTAAGCCATCTGGTCCACGTGCCTTATTTACCTACAGTTTTGTGCCACATGCCTTTCAGCATTGGTAGGGTACCTTGCAAGGTGGGGGTGGGGGGGGAGGAGGGCATGGCAAAGCCTCTGCCTTTGCCAGGCACCTCTTTACCATGTTAAGGGCCAGAAGAGGTATTTGGCTTGCAGAGGGGACTTATCAGCATCTTGAATCCCCTTTATAATAGGAGGGCATCAGATATTTGCAACCCCTATGCGGTGCGTTAGTACCCCTTATTGCTCATTCCCAAAAAAATCCAAAAAGTAATTAAAGACTTAAAGACACCAACACTGGGACAAAGTCCTTTTAAAAAAATGTAAATAATGATTTTGTAAATATGGTGTCAATTCCAATCCCAGCCTGTCGATGATGACCTGCCACCATGACCACCTGACACTCCACGACGTTTCCCTGCTGCACTACTGCCACTAAATGACAAACAGAACCACAGCTGCTGTTTCTACACCAACCAGCTGAAGATCACGTATGACATCATTGACCAACTATGGTCACAACACATTACCTTTGCTTCTAAACAACAGGTGAACTGGACTAATTTTCCCGATTTGTTAGGCTGTTCATTAAACCATGAACAAGGTGCCTTCTGGTCAAATAAAGAGTCAACCCAAAGATTAGCGGGTCACCCTTTAAAATCCATACAATAATCCTATTGAGGATAAGGATCTGGTATAGATTTGTGGGGGAAAAACACATAGGGGGCAATTTATCAAAGCACTTGCGACAGTTTTAGCCTCTTAGATATTTTTTTTTTAATGTGCAAATCTGTCTTTTAACACGTGCCCCTGTTTTCACCTGAGCTTGCACTACTTTTTCAACTGCACGTTTTTTTGCACCAGTTTTGCATCTGTTGTCATCTGCACTTGTTCTGGGCTGTCTGAAACTGGAGCATCACCTAAGAAAGCAATCACAACTTAAGAAGTCCCCATGACCACTTCTTCTAGTAGTGACAGTTAAGCTTTTTGCCTGAAGTCACAAGTTTTCTTTCCTGGAGTCAATTAAACCTCATTTATGAACAACATTACACTGGCATCACAAATCTGGTGCAAATATATTCCGTGCAAGTTCAAACACTCGCAATTGCTGTGATAAATTTGCCCCATAATGTTTCATGTTCTCCTGGAATGTTACCATTGTTTTTCATTTTTGTCTTTTACATTTTAGACTAGAATGCCTTGAGGTTTTGCATGCTTTTAAAGCTGACTGAGACTGAAGAATGTTTGAGAAACGCAGGTTGTTCAGCAACATTAGACCCTTATTATTATGTTATAATTCTTTATGAGCCAGTCTGAGGCAAACCCACACCATTTTCTTGAATTTCAAGAGAAGCGATCTGGCGACTTTACAAATGTAAACAGAGTCCCATTGACGCCAGGATTCTGTTTAAACAGGCCACTGCCAGTGACTAAGAGGTTAAGGGGTTAAGCTGAGCTCCAGTGTAAATACCTGAATGGGACCTGGTATCACCCTCTTACAGTCCCTGTACAGGAGAGCTGGAGTGTGAGAGCGAAAAAAAGCACAAGTACCCATCCGTTCATGTGCTGACAAGAAGCACCCTGATAGGAAGGGAGAGCAGAGTGATAGAGAGATGAGCTCATCACTGTGCTGCTTCTCTCCTCTCTGTCCAGTCACAGGCCCAGGGGTGGGTCCAGGATAACCTGGGCTCAGAGGATGTAAGTTAAATGATTCTGGTCATCATAATGAAGACTTCTAAGGGCAGAAACTGTTGGGGAAATCTCTGGATTGAAGGTGAAATTTGCAGAAACATTTTTCCATATCTTTTATGGGCTGTTTGTATTATCTTGTTATTTCTGTCTGGAGCTCTGCTTTAAATGATTTCTTCTGTGACCTGAATAAAATGGATAACAATTCTATTACCTGTAGGTATTTCATTTCCATTCATATTTACTTGTGTTCCAGCCCCATATACGAGCATTGAGTTGGACTTATTTGCCCCAGTGCAGAATTTCAGCATCACAAAGCAGTAATAGGTGGTGTTATCTGTATCTTGGACCCCGTTTATTTGGAGGTCGGCCTGTCCACTCAGCTGAGTTCTTCCACGGTAACTGGAACCAACCATCAGATCAGAGGGGTGATAGGCATAGGGTCCTGTTGGGCTGCCCACTCTCCAGAAGACTCCTCTCCACAGAAGGTTCTGGTTTGGTGGGACGGTGTATGAGCAGTTGATGGTGACAGAGTCTCCTTCATTAGCCAATATTATCCCAGACTGAGTGACTGTGAACCTGAAATCATTCTGAGTAGGATCTGAAAAAAAAAAATATGTGCTACGTTTACAGAAAATATTAGGTGAGCAGATGCTGATTATGCACACAACATGATTTAATGGAGCTTCCAATCCATTGGTCAAACCATACAAAACTGGTAAATCTGCCATTGTGGTATTAAGTACTGTACATTTTGTTTAGTAAATCCAAAAACCAATTTCCTCAGTGTTAGAGGCACCTGACAGAGACCCTGAAGTACCTACTATATTAGGCAAGTAGGGATGCACCGATACCGATACTAGTATCGGTATCGGTGCCGATACCGAATATTTGGATGAGTACTCGTACTCGCCCAAATGCTCCGATACCTAGCACAAGTACTTCCTGTATCAGGAAGCCGGGCAGCGCATCATTACACGCTGCCCGGCTTCCTGATTGGCCAGTAAATGGCTCCATGCTCTCTCGTCACTTGTGATGAGAGAGCATGGAGCCGACTTCCCGGCCAATCAGGAAGCTGGGTAGCATGCAATGACGCGCTGCCCGGCTTCCCGATTGGTCAGGAAGCTAGCAAATCCGGAAGCCGGGCGCTGTGTAATGATGCAGTGCCCGACATTCTGATTGGCCGGGAAGCCGGCGTCATGCTCCCTCGTCATCTCATGAATCATAATATTAAGAAAGTGACCTTAAAGCATTAGTTTGTATTGCTTTAGAAAAAATGTGACCTGTCCCTTTAAGAAAAAGTATCGGTAATTGGTATCAGCGAGTACTTGATCAAAAGTATCGGTACTCGTACTCGGTCTTAAAAAAGTGGTATCGGTGCATCCCTATAGGCAACCATCAAAGGTCCAGAACTCCCAAAGAATAGGCAGAATAGAAAAGAAAAATCGCAAGGAGGAAGATTGTTAGTCTGGAGTGTGGATTATTGCAGCTGAGAATATTGGTGGGGAAAGAAGCTTGATCTACATAAATGCTTGTGACCTAATCACTAGGGATGCACCGATATATCGGCCGCCGAAACATATCGGCCGAAAATGGCACTTTTGGCATAATGCCGAAAGAGCCATGTTTCGGCCGATACATCGGGTCATCCCTGGTTTCTTTTCTCCCCGCTGGGCGCTGTTCCAGCGGGGAGAAAAGAAAGTGACAGCCGCCGAGCGCTGCAGGAGTCAGGACGAGAGCGTTGTGAGCTGCGGCATCTCTCCTCCCACACCGATCAGCCGCCTATCACAGTCCGGCAGAGCGGTGTGGGGGCGGAGACATCACTGTCACAGGAGGCTGGGCTTTCCTCTCTACACGGCTCGATCAGCCTCCTGTGACAGCGTGTCAGAGAGAAAAGCAAGGTACAAACACACAGTGATCAGTGATGGCTGAGTGTGTGTACATAGTTGAGGATATGGCATGTTAACTATAATCCTCAATTATGAATGAATGGGAGTGATCTACATCACCCCTACATCACCCCCATTCATTCATAATTGTAGTTCTAGTAAATTGGGTTTCGGTTTCGGCCTGACATTTTTTTTTATTTCGGTTTCGTTTCGGTTTTAAAAATTCCATTTCGGTGCACCTCTACTAATCACATATGAGGAAGGGTCGCTAGCAGGGAGATGAGTAGCTTGTGGAAGGAGCACTGAAGAATCTAAATGGCATGATTAGATACATCTGTGAGAAGGTTTACGGGTTAAAGACACTAAATTGTGGAGAGTGATTTAGAAAAAAGAGTTCAACAGAACTTCACATGGAGAGATTGGATAATTTGATGTAAAAGATTCAGTTGACACTTTGTTTTATGTTTTTGCAGAACACTGTACAGGTTACGATCATTGGACACTTTGGGGGTTATTCAGAAAGCTGCCGTAGGCAGCCGAGTGAAAAACCGACCCGAAGTGAAGTGAGCCAAACGCTGTTCGGCTATTCACTTCAGGCTGGTACGGCTGATTTCATCCGTACACCGACTAAAATCAGCCGTACATCGGCTTGCTTCGCATGGCTTCGGGTCGGCCAAACGTGCTCAGCATGTTCGGCCGACCCGAAGTGCAGAAGGAGTTCGACCCAGCCGATCCAACATCTGGATCGGCTCAGCCGAACCTCCGGCAGGCTACTCGCTGCTGTTCGGCCTATTCTCATAGATGCCGAACAGCAGTGAGTAAATAGCCGAATGTCGCCAAGCGGCATTTGGTTCGGCTATTCTGCTTCTGAGGTACCGAGCAGAATAGAAAAACAGTTTCAAAAAGTAGAAGAAAAAAGAGAAAACGATTGGGTGGAGCTAGCAGTGGCAGCTAGCTCCGCCTAACTTTCGAGACCAGCTGTCATTACAATGAGAGCTTGTCGGAGCCGGCGGTGGTATCAAAGCCGGCTCTGCTGAGCTCTCATGGTACTGACAGATCAGCGTCCCTGGTTACCGGGTAATCAGGGACGCTGAACTATCAGTACCATGAGAGCTCAGCAGAGTCGGCTTTCATATCACCGTCGGCTCTGCTAAGCTCTCTTCGTAATGACAGATGGGCGTCCCTGGTTACCTGGTTACCAGAGACGCTGATCTGTCAGTGCAAGTGGCTGGAGCCAGCCGTGAGATGACGGCTGGCTCCGTCCAGCCGTTCGGCCAGCTTTGAGTTTCACCTGGGCTCAGTCGAGTCGAAGCATATGCCTTCGGCTCGGCTGAGCCCCTCGGCCAACTTCGGGAGCTGTACGGGATATAGTGAATAGCCCGTACAGCAGCCCTTTGGTTCTACTGGTCCTGGGGCGAAGCTAGCCGAAGGATCAGCCGAAGCTACGGCTAGATCCTTCAGCAGCTTTGTGAATAACCCCCTTTGTTTCGCTTGCTATAGCTTTGAGATTCACATAGGATTATTTTTGCTATAGCTGGTTCACAAAGGATTCAACACTAATATCCAGGTTATTTATATTTTTGTGTGTCACTCTTGTGTTATTTACTGTGCACCAGTGGCGGATCCAGGGGGGGCAACGGGGCAATTGCCCCCCCCCGAGATTAGTGCCGCTCCTGTCCCCGTCCACGGCCAGCCACCCGCAGTGTGTATTGACAGCTGTCCCTCCTCCGTGTCACAGACTTTACTGCAGTTCATTGTAAAAAAACTTTGTACAATGAACTGCAGTAAAGTCCGTGACACGGAGGAGGGACAGCTGTATGTTCCGGCGTGTGCAGGGATCCGATTTCGAATGAAACAGGCGGCTGCCTGTCATTGAAAGTTACTCTGTTAGCCTGGTGGAGCCTGGAGGCGGATCCTATACTCGTCTCTGCAGGCACAGCCATGCTGGTTACTACTTAAACCGACGCGCGCAGTGTGCAGCTTCTGAGAAGATACGCTATTAGCGTAGCGGTAGTGATGCAAAATGCGCAGCCGCCTTCCCCGCTATGCTAATAGCGTATCTTCTCAGAAGCTGCACACAGCGCGCCGGTTTAAGTAGTAACCAGCACACGCTGTATCCAGCTTCTGACAGTGTGGGAGACGGGAGGCTGAGCTTGTCTGGATCCAGGAATCAGGTGAGTATTAGAAAACAAAAAAATTTTATTTTATATTTCTGGGGACATCATTTGTCAGGGGATGGTCTCCTCAATCTGGGGACTGTCCCCAGAAATCAGGGATGAATGGTCAGCCTACACTAGGGAGCCCACACTAGCCACCTGGGAGCTACCACAGAGCCACCACTAATTATTATGGATCCCGCACTGACCAGCAGAGAGCCTGCACTGATCACCTGACAGTCTGCATTGGCCACCTGAGAGCCTAATTAGGGAGCTGCCTCTGCTGCACCTACACGCACCCGTGAAACTCTCTGGACCCCTGGTGAGAGCCCGCACAACCATCCTGAGACACTGGTGACATCAGGCGGCGAACCAAGAGCTTCATATTATTCTGCTTTGCTGTAATATTTATTGCTGGGCTTTGTAGTCCTCTATTGCTGATGCTATTCTGCATTGCTGTATAATGTATTGCTGGGCTTTGTAGTCATCTATTGCTGATGCTATTCTGCATTGCTGTATAATGGTATTGCTGGGATTTGTAGTCCTCTATAGCTGATGGTATTCTGCATTGTTGTGTAATCAGGGGTGTGGACATTTTTTTTTTAAAAACGACTTGTCCAAGGGCTAAAGCGGGGGCCGAATCTACTTGCCCTTCATGACAATCTACTTGTCCCAATACAAAAAATTGTTTTAATCAAAACTAGGGATGCACCAATGCCGGTTTTTCGGTATCAAGTACGAGTACCGATATTTTGCTTTTGGCACTCGCCATACTGAATACCAATACCGGTGCTTCCACTGGCACGGAGCAGGCTTCCCGGGTAATCAGGAAGCCGGTAGCGGGTAATGACATGCCGCCCGGCTTCCTGATTGCCAGGGAAGCCGGCTGCATGTTGTTTGGCTGGCTTAATTGTGGTTGGCTGGGAAACCGTCTTAAAGGAGAACTATGGGGTCAGTGTTTTTCCCCATAGTTCTCCTTAGGGTAACGGGAGGACACAAACTAGCATCCTCCCGTTACCCTAAGCTCAGTATACCACGAGCTACAGCTCGCTGTATACTGAGACGCCGCAGACGGAGCGGATCACGTCTTAAATGACGGGATCCGCCCAGCTGCGTGACTGACAGCTGGCTCTGCCTATCTAGAGGCAGAGCCAGCTGTACCCGCCCCCTCCCCCGTCCGTTCCGCCAGTCAGCGCTGGCAGATCAGAGCGGGGAGAGGGGAATCCAGCCCCTCCCCCTGTCACGGCAGAGACGTCATCAATTCAACGCTATGCCGCGTGTTGTAAACTGCTGTGTTGTATCATAATGTATGAATGTGATATTTTATCGCCATGCACACTAACACATCGCATAGACGCCAATGTGGATCAAACATTACCACAACGCATTAGGTGTGAAGCCAACCTCCAAATTTTTAGTGTAAGTTGTATATTTGCATTCATTGGATTTTCACAGTTTTGCAAAATGCTGCATTTTAAAATTTACAAATATTTGTTATTTATTAACTAATTTAGGAAGAATGCTCTAAATTTTGCTATGTTTGTGTTCACTACTGA